GCGCGCGAGTTTGAGCGCGCGAGGGGGCGCGCGAGTTTGAGCGCGCGAGGGGGCGCGCGAGTTTGAGCGCGAGAGAGGGCGCGCGAGTTTGAGCGCGAGAGAGGGCGCGCGAGTTTGAGCGCGAGAGAGCACACGAGAGAGACAGCGCGCAAGAGAGAGGAGTGAGTGAGTGAGAGAGAGAAAGAGAGAGAGAGAGCACCAGGGAGCGAGTGTGTGAGGCGCATGCACATGTGTTCACGGGTTTACGTGTGGGTGTCTCGTGCAGTTGGCCTCAGTGTCACGGGGCAGAAGCAGACAATGTTCATATCCCAAGTGATTATCCAGTGACTTCCATTAGTAAGTGGACATGTCCAGAAAGATCAGGACATGGGCTGGCAGTGATGCCTCCAGTCCAATAGCTTGTGAATAACTCTCAGCATCCACTCAGACATCAAGAATGACCTTTTGACAGAGGCACCAAAAAAACCTCAATGCCCAGAGTAATGAGTCAATTACTTCCAGACGATAGGAGGAAAATGTGTTCCTTGGGTTTTGGAAAGCACTGACAACTGGCACTTCAGCCGCCTGGGCTTTAGAATTACCTTTCAATATCTCTGCTACTGTCTGACATTGGCTCTTCTTTTCATATTGTTCTGACCAAGAATGTAAATTTTAAGACAGGAAAGCACTCAAAAGTTACCCATCCCCAGGGCTCGGTGTCAATTTTCACTTGATTACTCTCTGGGGATATTTTCTGAAGGTGTCACATAAATGCAAGTTGTTGGGTCGATCTTCACCATGCCACTCTGGTGCAAACAGCAGTTTATGACCTTCCTGCTCTAGTGTCTGTAACAACCAACATTGTCGGACTCCACGGAGTCTGCAGCAGAATGCAGTCTGCATTGATACTACCCCCAAATGGAGGGATTTCATCACATTTGACTGGGGAACCTGGCAGTCGCATCCAGAGAAGGGGAGGTAGGACAGGAGGGAACCAAACTGGGAGGCAAACAGAGCAGGCAGTCACACTAGGACTGACAAAAGACAGGAAATAAAAATATCCAATTTGCATGACGGCTTGGCATTGTGCTTCCATTAAAGGAACCCCTCATGCCAACTGGCATCTGCACAATGGTTCCTACTGACTTAAAAGGTGCTCACTTCTATCAGAACTCCCAGGCACCCAGTGTTTTACCTGAAGGGATAAGAGCTGATCCATATCCTCCGGGAGCGAGCTGAGATGGTTGTCATGGAGATCCAGAATCTGACAGCAAGAAACAAGCAATGATAATCTCCACAAAAGTCATTCAACTGACTTTAACACAGCACAGTCCCAATCTGGTGCATAAAACATTAACCCCACTCAACTTTGTTCTTCTGGCACTCAAACTTGCTCCAACTGGAAAAACAACTGCCTTTAACAACTAACAAACTAAAAAGAGATGCTGCCTCGAAGGAAGTGCAATTCATTTCTGAGTATCCCAAGTGGCTGAGGGTAGGTGCCAGAGGGTGGGGCTTGAGCACTACTCAGCAAATTTACGATAAAAGTCATTTTGTTCCGGAGAAAAGTCTTCCCGCTACAGCTTCTGCTGTCAATCAATTAAAAATTCTCAGCAGTATGGTGTATATTTCAAAGCTTCTGGGCCAAGGGCAGCCTTAAATTCATACAGCACGGAAACAGACCCTTCAGACCAACCAGTCCACGCTGACCATAATCTCAAATTGAACAAGTCCCATCTGCCTGCACTTGGCCCATATCCCTCCAAACATTTCTTATTCAAGTACTTATTTAAATGTCTTTTAAACATTGAAACTGTCCCTGCATCCCCCACTTCCTCTGGCAGTTCATTCTACACAAAACACTGTGTAAAAATGTTGCCCCTTGTCGATTTAAAATCTTTCTCCTCTCACCTTAAAAATACACCCCCTAGACATGAAATCCCTCACCCTAGGGAAAAAGACACCAGCTATTCACCTTATTCATGCCCCTCATGATTTTATAACCACCTATAAGGTCACCCCTCAACCTCCCAGTGAAAAAAGTTCAAGCTTATCCAGCCCCTCCTTAAAACTCAGAACCTCCATTCCCGCAACATCCTGGTAAATCTTATCTACACCCTCTCCCATTTGATACTATTCATCCTTTAACGAAGTGACCACAACTGCACACAGTACTCCAGAAGAAGCCTCACCAAGTCCTATACTCAAAGGTCAGTCCATATTAGCATCCAGGCAGCACAATCATTACTCATTGGAAGTTCACACCCAAGTATCTTATGTGTTAGGATTTCCTCTGAGTCCCAATTCACAGGAAAAGGGAAGATGAAAGTAGGAGGTGTACACGAAGGGGGAAGAAAACATAGGGAAATGCCGCAGTGTGTACGCATACGCAACTGAACAAGAAGCAGATAGTATTTCAGACTCAGATCTTTAGAGACGTGCAGCTCTTGACAAGTACATTAGGCGTAATATAAGCCTGGAGCAGTCGGGGCCAAGCTAACTTGCACTTACCTTCAGCATCGACAGATCCTGGATGTTACATGACTTTGGCAGCAGTGTTGACAAGTGATTGGTGTGAACAATTAAAACCTGAAAAACAAACAGACCAAAGTGATGGAGCTCTTCCAGATACACTGCATCCTTGCTCCAGACACACAGAGCAATCCACAAAGGTTAGAGCTCTGCTGAGGTGAAATGGAAATCAAGGCACGGAAACATCAACAACTCACTCAAGTTTCATAGGCTCCACAGAGAGAAGCTAATGATGATAACAGGCAGCGCCAAAACTGCTTTGTCACTAATTGACCAGACGCTCAGGGGTCATCAGCAGATAAATAAAAACTAATGCTGTACTTTTGAATATCATCACCAAGGGGTAGGGGTTGGATGTAAAACAGAAGGGGATCAGGGATAGATCCTTGGGAACCCCAGAGGCAATGGAGTGGGAGCAGGAAGGGAAGCCATTCTTGGTGATTATCTGAATATAATTAGATGGATAAGATTAAACCAGGTGAATGCGGTCCTACCCAGAGGGATAAGCAGATGCTTTCAGAAATACAAGTAGCTGTTGGTGAGCCTGATGCCAACATCCATTGTCTCAGCAAGTAGGCCAGCAAAGCGAGCACACACACAGGGAGGGACGGAGGGGGCAGGCAGGCACCCAGGGAGGGTCACCAGACAGACAGCTCAAACTCTTACCTTCTTCTGTAGGACTCTGCACATGGAGAACACACTGACCGGAATCTGGAGTGATAGGATTGAAAATAAATAAAACTGCAGCTCATTCTGACTCAAATTACTCTCAAAATTCTGTCACACGTTGATGAGGTTCCATAACACCTGGCACATCGTGGCCTATAATCTTAGGAAACCAGCCCGTTTCAGTTCATTAGACTGGGCGTCACTGCTCTGTGGCTGAAAATTTGTCACAAAGCCTACTCCTGGTCCCTGCTGGGCAGCTCCATCTTCCAAACCAATGACCTTTACTAGCAAGAAGGACAAGGGAAGCAGATACATGGGAACACCACCACCTGCAAGTTCCCCTCCAAGCTACTCACGATTTGTCTTGGGAATATAATTGCCATTCCTTCAGGATTACTGGGTCAAAGTTCTGGAATTCCCTCCCTAAGCACATTGTGGGTCAACCTACTGCAGCGGTAAAAGAAGGCAGCTCACCACCACCTTTTCAAGGGGCAATTAGGAATGGACAACAATACACTGGGCCAGCCAGTGATACCTATGCCCCAGCAATAAATTTTATAAAAGGCACGTTTTGATAGAGGGTAGGACCAGGTTTGACTGATATGTGCCTTAAGTGGAATTTGTTCAGTTCGGTTTCTCTTGGAGTGAGTCTTAGGGCTGCCCATAACTGAGAGACATAAAATGGCCGACAGCTAGCTCCCTCTCGCCCTACAGAAAATGGCTCGCAGTAATTACAAGCTTGGAAAAAAACATTTATTAAAGGTAGCCTCCACAAGAAGGACAACTGCTAATCTGTATAATCAAGGTTACTGAGCTCAGATAGAACGTGCAAACAGAAAAACAACAGTAAGAACATTTCACAGTAATTTGCTTTTTTGAACTATTCACAATATTAACAGTAGGTCCTAGTTAAAGATTCTTCAGATAATCACAGAGATAGATTATAGTATTTACAGATACACACATATACAAAATTCAAAAATCATTAAAAGCATTAGAAGAAAAGATTCAAATAAGGATTATGAAAGTTAACCAGTCTCAGATAATAAAGTGGCCCCTCCTTGCTTTAAAGGAGTGCCTGGTACACACAGTAAGAAACAAATTGCTCACAACTCATTATCTAAAGAATGTAAACAGTAGGGGCACACACAAAACTTCAAATGTAACTGACTTTATAGTAGAACAAATACTATGAATTTTATAGCAGTTAGTAAGAACCATCTTCCTTTGTATCTCTTGGAATTAGGGCAGTGGGAAATATAAAACGAATAACTGGATTTGAGCAGTCCTTAGAGATAAGAAAGTTTATAACTACTAACTTTGGAATGTGAAGTAATGGGATGCATTGTAAGACCCCAAGGCCTGGTGAGCTAATTGTCTGGTAAACATCATGAGATCATGAGGAACCTAGGGCTGTCCACAATCATTGATTAGGTGTTTCACAGGATTGGATGTATAGATTAAGGGGGCGGAGGCACAATGACCACATAGTATGTGATTATTGTAACATGAAATGTGTAAAAATACTGCATCCCACTGGGAAAATGAGAGCGTCATTGACCTTTCTTCTGATCTGAGCCAAAGATTGAGGGGGTAAATTCAACCATCATGGTGAGGCTAGACATGGAGCTGTCTTTGGCCTCTCTCTGCAAATTGCTTGAATAAACAGCCACGTGCCTGAATCCTACAGTCTCCTGAGTCTCTGTCCCCGGTTGGGGAGTTCAGTCCCACACAGTGGTACTGTAAACCTGGTACAAAGATGTCTATTCCATGGAAAGCAGAGTAAATAGCTTTGTGTTTTTTTAAAATTAGACAAAAGAAGCTTGAGACGGCAGAGTCAGCCTCACACAGACCTAAGGCTTTAGTTTTGCTTTCAGTTGGTGAAGTTGGGGTTTTTGAAGTTGAAGCTACTAGATACAGCTCTCCTTCTTTCTCTCGCTCTCCGTCCCTCTCTGCTATTAGCTTCTTTCTGCTGGTATTCCTTCGCCTGGACTGAAGAAGATAGCATGTGAGGAAATCCGTTTTGCTGAATGTGCCTTTGCCAAGAGCATTTATGGGACGCTGCTATATTGGAACAGTTGATGAGCAATAGTTAAATAATGTATTATTTTGCTAAGTATGTTGATAGATGCAAAATTATGCCAATTCATTTTTTGTTTGGCATTTTAACTATGGGGTAAGAATAAAGTGTTTTGCTTAAAACCTAGTAGTTTGACCAATGGAATCACATCTGGAATGCAGCGCCTTACACTTGCCTTTAAGTAAGGTAAAAGTTAGGGTCCAGAAGGGTCTGTTTCTGTGCTGTATGACTTTATGTTCTGAGGGCGTTTGGTCTGGGCCATCACAAGTTGGACAGCACATTAAAATCCGGCTTGCACCCAGACCAAGGTCCCCTTAGAAAGTAATGTCTGACCTTTGAATTGCATTCTATCATGGGGGCAATATTGGAATGGGGTAGTGGTGGAGATGCAGGGAAAACAGGCTCCTTAGATTCACTGAGCCTCTGTTATGTCAACATCAGGTGCTCCATTAGCCTCATTTATTAAATCAGCTGCTGTGGATCGTAACAATTGTCCAGCAACTGCCCCAAAATATTCTTAGGTCTTGAAAGACATTGCATAGACCGGCATGTTCTCTAAAGAATTTTAGTGACCCAGCAAACATCCTTAACTCACCCCCACAAACAGGATAAGCCACACTCTCTTATTACTGGAATAGGTATCACCAGAGCCTGCCTGTCTGGCCAAAACTTACCTCAAACAGCTCGCACTTTGAGATGTCCAGGATGTCATCTGCACCTGCCTCTCGGGCCTGTACAAAAGGGAAAGACAGCATTGTAATATGAACCTATTCAAAATGTGGAACTCGCAGTTACACACTCAACAAAACGAGACAAGAAGCTGGAGAGTGAGATTCTCTCAAACCCTCATAAGCTGTAGCTCCATTAACTTTCACTCACCTTTTGTTAACAATTATGCCCAGACAGTGGAAATTGTAGAACGAGAGAGGGGAGTAGTGAACATTCATCTACTGGCTGAATGACACTTCAAGTAAAATGAGAGGGACTCACAGAAAGGACAAGAAATGTGGTCCCTCGAGCCTGCTCTGCCATGAAAGATAATGGCTAATTTGGCTATGGTCTTGACTCCATGTGGCCTCCATAACCCTCAACTTCCTTGACAATGAAAACCTGCCCAACACAGTCTTTAATAAATTCATGGTCCGACCCCTCTGCTCTCTGAGGAAGAAATTTCCACAGATGAGCAACCCTCAGGAAAAAAAAATTCTCTGTCCTAACACCTGTCGTTAGGAAAATGTTACAGTCCATTACTAAGGAAGAAACAGTTGGAGACTTAGAAATGTTGAATGCAATCAAACCAAGTCAATACAGTTTTGTAAAATGTTCGACCAATTTGCTAGACTTCTTTGGGAATATAACAAGCAAAGTTGAGAAAGGGGCACTGGTAGATGTGGTGTATTTGGATTTCCAGAAGGCATTGATATGGTGTCACATAAAAGGCTATTGCACAGGGTACGAGCTCGTGCCATTGGAGGTACTGTATTATCTGATTGAGGATTGGCTAACTCAAGGATGAAAGGGTCCGGTGTAATGAAACAAAGAACTGCAGATGCTGAAAATCTGAAACAAAACAAAACAGAAATTGCTGGAGAAACTTGAAGAAGGATCATTGGACTTGAAATGTTGACTCTCTCTCCACAGATGCTGGCAATATGCTGAGTTTCTCAAGCAATCCCTGTTTTTGTTTCAGGCAATGAGACTTTTTCAGATCAGAGAGACATAACAAATGGAGTTCCACAAGGATCAGTCCTAGGACTGCGATTATTTCCTATTTATATTAATGACTTGAAGGAGGGGGCACAGTGTAATGTATCTAAATTTGATGATGACACAAAAATTGGTGGGAGGGCATGTTGTGATAAGGACATAAAGAATCTGCAAGGGGCCATTGATACAATGAGTCAGTCGTCAAAAACTTGACAAATGAAATTTAATACAAGAAAATGTCAGGTCATACACTTTGGTAGGAAAAATCAAAATCCAGACTATTATTTATAAAGAGAGTGACCCCCAAGAAGCACAGCACAGAAGAATCAAGGTGTTCTTGTGCATGACACACAAAGTTAGCATGCAGGTGCAGCAAGCAATTCAGAAGGAAAATGGAATACTGGCCTTTTTTCTAAAGGATTGGAGTTGCAGAATAAGACAGGACATTAGTGAGGCTGTGCCTGGGGTAGATTTAGGTCCCATGTTTAAGAAAGGATTTGCTGGCATTGGAGGCAGTTAAAAAGAAATGCACGCGACTGATTCCTGGGACGAGGGCTTGAGTTATCAAAAATGGTCTTTGGAGAAAATTAACCATAATCTTGTCGATTGGTGGGACATGTTTGACGGGTCAAATGGTCTACTCCTGTGCCTATTTCTCATTCTCTTAACTGGGAGCCTCCTGAGTTTTAAACTGTGTCTCTTAGTTCTGTACTTTCCTATAAGGAGAAGTATCCACCCTGCCAAGTCCCCAGGATACCTACATGTTTCAGTAAGATCACATTGAGAGCTACAGGAGGACTAAAAAAAATTCAGAGATCAAACTTATCTATCATCCTATTAAATAATTTTACAAGTGCAACAGGTGGAAAGGAAAGCACAGATATGATAATATCATGAGCCATAAGGTATCAAGAGGCTTGTGTGTAGTGGAAACATCAGCAAGGATTCAGAAGGCCCAAGTGGCCGGTTTCTGTGCTGCCAAGACTGTTGTAGCCCAGAGCAGCCACTTTAGCTGGAGCAGGTCAGTGGCTATAAAAACATCATACCATATTATACTTCAGCAGTTACTGAGCAACAACTCCAACCACCTCCACCCCCCACTCCACAACAAGTTTCTCAGTGCTGCAGGTATTTCTAATATCCAGTCATAAAAAGAACCACTCAAATGTCTGAAGACTAGAGTCCAACAGCCTACATCCATAGGCGATGGGGACAGAAATATCTCCTCATGCCTGGCAAATGCCAAACATTGCATAAAACTGCATATACACACAGCTGAAAGACAGGTTATTCGGCTTACGTTGTGTCTGCTAGTTCTCTCTTCCTATTCACTATTCCCTCATATACTTGTCTAACTTCGTCTTGAAAGCACGCAAGTGATTTACCTCAACCACTTCCTGTAGGATGTATAAACACTAAAAATTAAGTTGCTCATTTACCCATTAGATGTATGAATGATGTTGTATTTACTGCTCCTAGTTTTGGATCCTCCCACAAGGGGAAACATTCCCTCCACACCTATCTTGCCAATGCCGTAACATTTTAAGGAGCTCAACAGGCCACCGCTAAGCAGTCCTTAATGAAATGACCAACCGGTTCAATCTTTCCAAATAGCTGCAATCGCCTGTTCTTTTGCAATAGCGCAAACGTAGCTGCACACAAACAGGGAAGTGCTGAGGATCCCATGACACAACTGGGGCCTTGTGGTGGTGGACGGGCTGAGTGTCAGAAGCTAAGCCATCAGTCAACCAGCTCTTTACTAATAACAAAGTACAGTACCTAGGCCCGTTCCACTCTTGTAATCGCAACATTGGTCTGACCAGTTAAGAGCTTAATCGTCCAAGATATTCATAGTACCAGGCATTCCTCCATTAGCTCCAATGGGGCAGAGTGTTGAAGGGGAGAGGAAGATGCCTGGTTTTTCTCTTCTCACTGGCTGGTAATTGTGGCATCAAAACTATTGGTAAGTTGCCAGTTGCAGTCAAGTTATGGATGAAAGGGAAAGAAGAGTCCTTCAAACCCACACACACCATTATCGTGACTAACAGACAAGTAAATATTCAATCCACATTGTGAGTGGGAGTGGGAGAGGTGGGGACTGAAGGGTGGAAGGGTATGGAATCACCCAGTTTTTCTTGCTAGCAGTCATGTCTGGATTGAGAACAAGAGGGCACAGACATAAAGTCATTGGCTAAAGAAATAACAGCACAATGAGGAAAAACACGTTGACACTTTTGGATCGATGGAGGCAGATTCAGTAGAAACACCGAATAGAGAATTAGACAACCAAACTGCAGGATTATGGACAGAGGGCAGCACTAGGGGAGATACTCATTTGGAGAGACAGCATAGGTACAATGGGATAGTAAGAACTGCCAATGCTGGAGTCAGAGATAATACAATGTTGAGCTGGAGGAGCACAGCAGGCCAGGCAGCATCAGAGGAGCAAAAAAGTTGACACTTCAGGTCAGGACCCTTCTTCAAAATTGGGGGAGGGGGAAGGGAGCTCTGAAATAAATAGAAAGCAGGGGTGGGGCTGGGGAAGGTAGGTGGGATGGTGATAGGTGAGTGCTGGTAGGCAGTGGTGGGGATTGGTCAGTGAGGTGGGAGGAGCGGATAGGTGGGAGAGAAGATGGACAGGTTGTGTCAGGTCAGGGAGGCGGGGATGAGAGGGAGGGTTGGTCATGGGATGAGACCGGGGGAGTGGGGAGATTTTGAAACTGGTAATATCCACATTGGGACCATTGGGTTGTAGGGTCCCAAAGCGTAATTTGGGGTGCTGCTCCTCCAGTTTCTGGAAGGCGTCATTGTGACCCTGGAGGAGGCCCAGGATGGACATGTCGTCCAGGGAGTGGGATTTGAAATGGGTTGTGACTGGAACGTGTTGTCATTTGTCGCGAATAGAACGCAGGTGCTCTACAAAACGGTCTCCGAGCCTCCACTTGGTCTCACCGATGTAGAGGAGGCCACATTGGGAGCAGCAGATGCAACAGACCACTGATCTCTAATCTTCCCTACACATTCCTGATCTGTCCTTTCATGCACCCTTCATTCCTCAAACATTGCATTTTTTTTTCCTTCACAGGCTACTCCTTCAACCACTCAGCCTCTGCAACTTCCTCAGCATCAAAACCAACTCAACCCTCTTCCTTCAAATCTCCCTCCGCATCTGAGTACTGTACCTGTGCTGGTTTGAACTGAAAGTGATGGGGGGAAAACCAGGGATCATGGGGTCTCAACTACACTCAGCAGCTCTCTCCCCTGTAACCAACTTGGGACCAGCGACTTGGCTGTCAGTTACCAGTATGCCATCTCCATTCACACAATGTGGAGGTGCCGGTTTTGGGCTGGGGTGGGCAAGGTCACAAACCACACAACACCATGTTATAGTCCAACAGGTTTATTTGAAAACACAAGCTTGTTTTTTTCTTCACAGATGCTGCCAGACCCACTGAGCTTTTCCAGCAACCTCTGCTTTTGTTCTTGTTGTGTGATTTCTGACCATCTCCATTCACAGACAGAGCAGTTTCAAACGGGGGAACAGCCTGTTTTGATTGCTGTCATCAGCTTTAGAAGATGAGAATAAAGACAGCTCCATTTCAGGTAAAAACACAAACTCCCCATCGGATCAAAGTGCCTATAGGGATTTAAATCATTGGGATGTGAAATGTTGACCAAGTTAACTGATTGTGGGGAAGAGGGACAGCCACAGATCAGCCCTCACCAAGGTCTAAGCCTTCTCTATGTCCCAATCCCCCCCCCTCCGTCTTCTCGCTGCCCCATCAGCCTGACTCACCGATCCCCCTCTCCAGACCCCGACCCCACACCCATACTCTCTCCCCTCCCTTACCCTATCTCCCCTCCACCAGACTCCTGCCCCCACTGCCCACTCTCTCCTAACTCACTCCCCCCCGCCTTTCTCCCCGGTACCAGGCCTCACCAGGCATATCTGATATTCCAGTCGTTTCCGCGCCTCTTCGCTCTGTTTCTTCTTCCGAGTGAAGAGCATCATCTCGGGCCGAGCTTCCACCAAGTCCCCGCGGCCGCACAACAGCGGAGGCGACGAGGGAAACTGAGGTGGAGGTGGAAAGCAGTAACGCAACAGCCCAAGACCTTTCCCGGTCTTCCCGGCTGGCCGGCGGCTCGGAAACTACCGCTGGATCCTCCGCCCGAAACAACGACTGAGAGCTGCCCAAGTTCCACCTCCTGTCACTCCTCCAGCACTAACGAGTGTGCCGAGTAGGGCAAGAGGCGCCGCCAGGTACAAACGAGCACCAAGCAAAGGACAAACCATAGAGCTCCCAAAACCAACAAGAATTACAGCTTGGGGAACAGCAAGATCAAATTATAATCCCGTACAAACATTCATTATGCTTTTGCATTTGACTACTTATTGAATATGTGAAATGAAGTTGACATTCGGATTTTCAAACTTATTGTTTTATTTACTTGTAAAATAGTTGCGCACGCGCGGTGTTGGGTAGGTATCACGCATGCGCTCGTTGCAAGCCGTCCCAAGAGCTTTCGGTGTCGCAATCTGCGCATGCGTTTCTCCGGATTTGTGCGGTGCCCTGGTGTCAGCAGTTACAGGCCACACTCATGATGGCGCCGTCCCTCTGCCATCGGGAAATCTCGCGAGAGTTTGCTGGTGTATATAATACTGTGAGCGAAGGCGCTCTTTCTCTTCACTTGCTGTTGTCGGTAACGGTGTAACTGCTGTTCGGTCGTCCCGAATCCGGGTTCATCCGACACCGAAACCGCCTGTTGCTGCAGTAACCTCGAGGATGCCTCCCAAATTCGATCCCAACGAGGTTAAAATCGGTGTGTACTCAGAGGGTGGGGAGGCTGCAGGGCCTGGGGTTAGGGGTGGGGGAGGCCTTGAGTTTAGGCCTGGGCACGTGTCCTGTGTGTCAGCGCGGATCCTGGGCCGCTGGCTGCGGGCAGCCCCGGCCATCCCTTGGTAAGTGTCTCACCGTTCATGGTTTGGCAGCAATGAGGTATTACTCCTGTTGTTTTCTTGTTGTTCTCCGCTTCAACTAAGTGTGGTTACTCTTCCACGATCTGAGATCCTCAATACACTCTAGACGCACTGCACTAATTCTCTTTTACTGTGTTGTAGTTGATGTGTTTGTTTCCTTTTCGAATTAATTCACTCACGTGGGAAATGCTTGATAAATCCCAGCCTGTGGGTTTTTGCGATGCCTATTGCACAAAGACTTGCGGCAGGCTGGTTATCAAAACATCTGTGTTCTCAAAGTTTTACGTGGATTTATAAGTGGAGGGTAGTAAGTAGTACTCGTCCATGGACGAGGTTAAACAACTTTTATAATGTTTTCGATCTCCCATTTAGGTTGTATATGGGACAGGGTTAAGACAAGTTTCTTCACTCAGGTCATGTTGTTGCATTCCCCTGAAAGCTGTGGATGTATGGTCATGAAGTTAAGATGGGGACAGGGTTGGAAAATGGAGTTGAGTTCATTACAGCTATGCCCTTGTTTAATAGTGGAGCAAGCTTGAGGGGATTTGTGGTGTGTGTGTGTGTATATATATACTCTTGTAGGTCCTGAAATACTTGGTTAATCCCACCATTCTCAAGAAAGGTAAAAGCTCTTTTTGGGCTCAATGACACTAATGATATCTGATATCATTATAGTGTCATTGAGCCCAAAAAGAGCCTTTGCTTTTTTTGAGAATGGTGGGATTAACAGTCTATTTCACTTTTATCTCGCTCATATATCCTGTCTATGGACAGCTGATGATTCTGTTTCCTTAAACTCAAGATTGTTTTAAACGGTGACACTTGATTGTGTTGAATTTAACGTGAGCAAACCTGAAAGCAGCTCCTGCTTGGAATATTTGATTAGGATTTTTTCAGTTGCTGAATTATTTTAACTAACATGTCTATTCTGGTTAGGATCATTGTCATGTTTGGAATTATTCTGACCCTGACTGACTTCTGTTGGGTTTGTTAATTTGGATGTAGCTGAAACAAGTTCTGCTGATATCAGAATTCTAGTGTAGGAGTAGAATTTTGGATGAGGTCAACTAAAATTAGTCTGGGCTCTTAATCTGACTTTGTAATTGTTTTGACTTGCCCCAAATTATACCAAAACTGTGTACAGAAAGCTATGGTGGTGCAGTGGTCATGCCTACTTCTGAGCCACAAGTTTTGGATTAAAGCCTCATCTGCTCCAAATGTGTACAATAACATCTTGGGCTGATTTAGAAAATATCTGTACCACCTGAGACAACAAGGTGCAGGGCTGGATGAACACAGCAGGCCAAGCAGCATCATAGGAGCAGAGGCGGACGTTTCGGGCCTAGACCCTTCATCAGAGAAGGGGGTTCTGAAATAAATAGGGAGAGAGTGGGAGGCGGATAGAAGAGAGGATAGGTGGAGAGGAAACAAACAGGTTGAAGAGGCGGGGATGGAGCCAGTAAAGGTGAGTGTAGTTAGGGAGTTAGGAAGGGGATAGGTCAGTCCAGGGAGGACGGACAGGTCAAAGGGGCGGGATGAGGTTGGTCAGTAGGAGATGGAGGTGCGGCTTGAGGTGGGAGGAGGGGATAGGTGGGAGGAAGAACAGGTTAGGGAGGCGGGGACAAGCTGGACTGGTTTTGGGATGCGGTAGGGGGAGGGGAGATTTTGAAACTTGTGAAATCCACATTGATACCATTGGGCTGCAGGGTTCCCAAGCGGAATATGAGTTGCTGTTCCTCATATTCCGCTGCCCCCATACCTCCTCCCTCACCCCCATCCCAGGCCCCAAGAAGACTTTCCACATCAAGCAGATGTTCACCTGCACATCTGCCAATGTGGTATACTGCATCCGCTGTACCCGTTGTGGCTTCCTCTACATCGGGGAAACCAAGCGGAGGCTTGGGGACCGCTTTGCAGAACACCTATGCTTGGTTCGCAATAAACAACTGCACCTCCCAGTCGCGAACCATTTCAACTCCCCCTCCCATTCCTCAGACAACATGTCCATCCTGGGCCTCCTGCAGTGCCACAACGATGCCACCCGAAGGTTGCAGGAACAGCAACTCATATTCCGCTTGGGAACGCTGCAGCCCAATGGTATCAATGTGGATTTCACAAGTTTCAAAATCTCCCCTCCCCCTACCGCATCCCAAAACCAGTCCAGCTCGTCCCCGCCTCCCTAACCTGTTCTTCCTCCCACCTATCCCCTCCTCCCACCTCAAGCCGCACCTCCATCTCCTACCGACCAACCTCATCCCGCCCCCTTGACCTGTCCGTCCTCCCTGGACTGACCTATCCCCTTCCTAACTCCCTACCTACACTCACCTTTACTGGCTCCATCCCCGCCTCTTCGACCTGTTTGTTTCCTGTCCACCTATCCTCTCTTCTATCCGCCTCCCACTCTCTCCCTATTTATTTCAGAACCCCCTTCCTCTCCCCCTTGTCTGATGAAGGGTCTAGGCCCGAAACGTCAGCCTTCCTGCTCCTATGATGCTGCTTGGCCTGCTGTGTTCATCCAGCTCTACACCTTGTTATCTCAGATTCTCCAGCATCTGCAGTTCCTACTGTCTCTGATTCAATCTATACCACCTGTGCGCTTTGACAGTGGAGTTTTCAGTGGGAGGAGTTGTTTTTGTCTGGGGAGTTGGTGGCAGCAGTTTTGAGATTGATCAAAGCTTCTGATCAATTTAAAGGTTATATAGTTGGAGAACACTTTGCAAAGGTTTGATTTTGTAAAATGCTAACTGGGCCTAAAACCCATATTACAAGAGACAAGGAATTCAATGTGTTGGCAGTTTACTGTTTGTAAAGCATGTCTGACTGTCTTTTGTGTATATGCAGTGTACCTCAGATGTACTGGGGGTGAAGTTGGTGCTACCTCATCACTGGCTCCCAAGATTGGCCCACTGGGTCTGGTGAGTCTTTCCTCCTGTCTTGATACTGATTTCAGATTGCTGCTAGCAAATCTTTTTAAAGTAATCTTATAAGCTGTTTTCTGCTTTCTTTGCTCAGTCTCCCAAGAAAGTAGGTGATGACATTGCCAAGGCTACAGGTGATTGGAAAGGACTCCGTATCACTATCAAGCTGACTATTCAGAACCGACAGGCACAGGTATGAGGGGGGAGGGTGCCTGTCTCTGGATTAACCACTTTTACAGTTGTAGTAATAAAAGTAAATTGACTTTTTTTTCAGCAGGCTATGGTAAACAAATTACAGCACCTCTTGGGGCTTCCAAGAACTGGGGACATGTATAGCAAGATAATGTTGTGGCTAGTGCAATGTTGAGTTCATGTCTGAAGTACTCCAGACAGGGTTTTCTTTGTTCTTGCCTATTAAGCAAATCTGGTTGATTTGTGGATGGAGGTGTTTTTGCTGGGCCAGTTGTCCTTACTGCTGAGGCCCCCATGTTGCAGGTACAATGCAGCTGCCTTTGCTGCCCCCACAGCTGTTGTGAAATCCTGTACCATCTAATCACTTGATTGCATCAAATACCAACATGACTTGCATGATGCTTCCTGGGGACTACACCATACCAATTACATTTAAGCACTGTCGTAGAACTGCATATCATTGATTGTAGGTTAAAAGACTGAAGTCTTTTATAATATAAATTGGGAGTAGGATCCCTTTCTATTTTCACTGCCAGTGGTTGACATCCTGTCTAGGAAGAGGTATGCCCAGAAAACAAGTACAGTGTAGGCCTTGACTTCAGTCTTTTAACCTACAATCAATGATATGCAGTTCTACGACAGTGCTTAAATGTAATTGGTATGGTGTAGTTACACATGTACAACTCAAAGTACATCAGTCAGTCATCAACTGTCATAGTCAGTATAGCTATCGCCTCAACCTTCTAATGATATGCATAGAGCAGGTTTTGGGCTTCAGGCTTTGTCGTGCAATAACCTGGGAAAATTACACAGCTTGATTTATTATCCTGATTCAACTTTTGGCTGTTGAGCAAGCCAGACAATGTATGTGGCTTGAGGTAGTGGAAAAGGTGTTGTACCTGAATCTATCCCCTGTTCCAACAGTCAACCTAGAAGTGGTGCTTACTGAGCAATTTGACTGGTTTTAACTGTTGCTTTTTGCATTGGTCAGAATGGTTTTCTGTATGTTCTAGGTGGAAAATGTTTAAATATCCCTGCTTCGGATCTGGGGGCAATGATCTTTGAACTCCCGTACAATGTCTGAACATGGGGATGTAGCTGAGCAAACAGAGTGACAGTGCAAATAGGGTGAAATGCTGAGGCTGAGAATGTAAAAGTCTTGCAGTTTTGTTTTAAGCTGTTATTGCTGCATCTTGCAATGACATCTGCAGTTTTATTCATTTTAGATTGAGGTTGTTCCATCGGCTTCTGCCCTCATCATCAAAGCTCTGAAGGAGCCTCCCCGAGATAGGAAGAAGCAAAAGAACAGTAAGTCACTTTGCAGGGTTTTGGTGAGGGTACAGTGCTTCCATTTGACATTTCTGCATCATGTTTTTATGATAAAAGCTTAGCAGTGAACACTCCTTCTGCATTCAACTTTAAGTATCTAATTATGCAAGAGGATCACTTGCTTTCTACTTGTCCTCCAGATGCTACCCCTTAAACAACAGGCAGTTGCCCCTCCAGCACCTTGTCTGGAATTCTGGACACCTGGGATCTTGCTCTCATGAGAATGGCTAGCGTTTGACTTATTACTTTCTCCCTTGCTACTGCATAAGTTGTAAATCCCTGCAATTGAAATCTGAAACTAAATTGGGTCTGTTGTCAGTAAGCAGGATTCTGTATTGATGAGTGTTGATGCTTTCTCCTTTCCAGTCAAACACAGTGGCAGCATTACCTTTGATGAGGTGGTTGCTATTGCTCGTCAAATGAGGCACCGTTCTCTGGCCAGGGAACTTTCAGGTGGGTACTGAATGACAATAAGTGGTATTATGTAGTCCATGTACTTGTGTAATCAAGTTTGAGACCAATACTTAGGCTAAGTATGAAGGGGTTTTCATTGGTAATGTTTTCAAAGGACTTGAAAACTAAACCATCCAGCATGCTTAATATGGCAGCCAGTTGTTTGAGGCTATGCCAACTCCATTCCAACCAGTGTTGGACAGTCCATGAGATTTCCATGTAGGGTGGTGGGGAAATGTCACTGGCATCCATTCCTTTGGTGTATGGGAAATGCCAATTGGTGAAGCCTGAGTGCCCCTCGTGTTTATTGACAAATAGGAGTTGGAGCAAACTTAATATTTAACCATTCTAATGAATTAAGGTTTTAATGTGACAGATTTTTCACATTTGATCTGAAAAGTGAGTCTTTTCAAAAACAAGTTACGTTTATACTTTTTTACACCAGTATATATCAGCATTAATGATAAATTAGTGGAATAAGTAAGACTAATCTTGCTTTCAACCTACAGGAACTGTGAAGGAAATTCTGGGAACTGCACAGTCCATTGGCTGCAACATTGATGGCAAACACCCTCACAGTGTGATTGAGGATATCAACCAGGGCAAGATTGAAGTTCCTTCAGTAAGCTTGTTTTTTTGGTTGCATAATGCTATTTTGATTTCTAACCTTGGTTTCCAAAATCACTGACATTCTCTTCCTTCCAACAGGAATAAAATGGAGGTGCCAAGTTTCCAAATAAAGCATTTTTAAAAGTGCTGGTGTTTGAATCTTTCTTAAACTTCAACTAGTACCCAAAGTTTGTACATACTTGATTGCTGTCTGAAACTAGGGGTGGAAATTGCTGCATAAACTAACTTTCTGGAACACTTGCTCTCCCTATGAATAGGGCTAATGATGTGTTGGGTTTTTGCCCCCATTTACAATAACTTTGTACTTGGGTGAGGTGAAGTGTTAGATTAGAATTTGCATGCAGTTAAACCAGTTTTTATGACCCCATGTTATATCTGCACATGCACTGAAATGGCTATGGCAACCTGAAACTGCTGTAGCTTAAGGTGTGACTTGTATGGCCTCTTTACACAGCAATCTTAACTGACAAGATTGTGGGGAGAATTGCTACTTTAAATTGTGTATCAAAATTTCCAACTAAATCTTGCAACTCAACATTTTAAAAGGCTGGCATTCTTTTCTCGGCCATGTTGGCTGAATGTCCTTTAACTACTACACATGGATCTTGAGGATCTGACTGTCTCTACTTCAAGTTTAAACTCTTACTGCTAATAGTAACACTGGAAGAGACTAATTGTCACAAGTTTTGAATTCAAATCAATTCCTGGGAACAAAGCTGATTGTTGGTTTCTTTGCAGCTAGGAAAGGTATTTAGGTTAAGGCATCTTGTGATTGGAGTTTAACTAACAGCCAATGGCACTCATCTGGATACACATTCCTTAATCAGCAGAGGCTACTCAGTCCCTCAAGCCTGCTCTTACATTCTTTAAGAACATACTTTACACATGTACAGCAACTTTAAAGAAAAGTTTTAAACTGCTACTTTAACTCTGAATTCCCCTCTCAGTAAAATTTGATTTCATTGCCTAGCAAGGAACTTTGACCCTACTTTGCTGTTGGTGCACTTGTATTTAAGGCAGAGACAAAGTGTCAGCTTCCCCTCATCTGGCCCAAAAGTTGTAGCTCAACTACCCATTGAGTACAAATACAGAAATCTCTGACCTGACCCAGCTATTTAATGATAGCCTAACCTCAGTGTTTGACTCAGCCAAATTTCTTTTATCTCCCTGATAAAAGGTAGTCCACTTTCACCACTAAACTAGCTCATTGCTGGATAACATCACTAGAAATGTGTAATGCAAGAGTGGTCTTTTTGAATAAATTATTCAAAATTTGAATTTTACAAAAACATTACTCAAGGGTTAGCAAAATAGAAAGTCTGTTTTGCAAACTATACAAAAACAGCCAGCAGTGTACAGCTCCAGCACTGCCTTCCTGTTCTCCCAATGTAATAATGCCCTGAAACAGGGCTGTGGAAGTGTATGGGTAATCTTTGTGCTCATTCTCCCTTAATCACGTGTAGCATTCACAGCTATCAGTTTTCTACATCATCATCTTCATTTTCCATCTCCTTTTGATCATCTACCATTTTCACCTCTTCACTGTCTTCCTCATTCTCTTCTTCCTTACTCTTCTCTTGTTCATCATTCTCTGGCTTTTTATCTTTCTTCTTCTGTTCTGAAGCTTCTTTTTTCCCTTTCTGCTCTCGCTTGTAAACTGGAAAATAACAATCATGAATAGATTAAATTTGGGTATAGAGTAAGCAATTTCCACAATTTTAATAGCATGCAAATCCTTTACGGGAGGGGAAAATAGATCAATTTGACATCTGAATGTTGAAATCAATTTAAAGGCTGAAAACAACGGAGTGATTAAAGGACTAGATACCAAAAGCAAATTGAGATATGGAAACATGTACTTTTGTTTCATGAACATCAATTTCATCACATTCTTACGATAGGCAAGAAACTCTCATTGCCTATTTGCCCACACTTAAGTGGTGCTGTATTAATTGTAGGGAAACCAAGGAAGTCAAGAAATCACAATAATGTAAGCTACGCTCATTGTGTTTAAACCTCAGGCTACCTACAGTGCTGCAAGCAGCTCATTCATATTTTTACACTTGCACCACTTTGCTTCAACCCTGCCATTAGATCTATGGCTCTACAAGAATAGGGTGCCATATTGGGGGAGGGGAGAAACACTTGCCTCATTTGTCATACCAACTGAATTTTGCTTGGGATTTATCTGAAGGACATGGCTGTTTTAAGTTAAGAGATTATTGTTCCACTGATTTATATAAAACTGGTGGGAGCACAAAATTAGGGAACATCGATACAAAAGTCATCAATAAACCCTAGTGTAGAATTCCAGGAAAATGTCCTTATCTATTAAATGGTTAGAATGTGAACACACTAATTGACATTTGCTGAAGAACATCTCAAACATGTACCACATTTTGCAGATCGAAGTATTTACTCTAATTACACCCAAAAGATCTATTTGACAATGCCCACTAATCCTAGGCTCTCCATCAGCAGACTCACTTTCTCACTGTTAACCCTGACCACAGCTTTGCGTATATGGTATAACATTTTGTATACTAGCCTTAGTACACGGAGCCTTTCAGGTAGAAGATGGAACCAGGAATATAATGGTGGAAAGGGACAGTATAATTAGCAGATAGATACTGTTCTCCACAGCTGTAAGCGGGAGTCCCGAAGGGTGTACGGCCTGTCCAGTGGCAGGGTTAAGGACATTGTCTCTGACTGAAGAACTGGAAGAGGGATCCAGTTGTTGTCACCAACAGTGGCAGGACTAAAATGGAGGTTTTGCTTAAAGATTCAACAGTTATGAGCTAAACTAAAAAGTAGAACCTCCAAGGTAATCATCTCTAGATTACTACCTTGAGCCACAGACAAACTGGCATTGAGAAAATAAAGTAGTTAACTGTATGGTTTAAAGATTGTTGTGGGCAGAATAGCTTTCAGTTCATTGGTAACTGGCACCAGTACTGGAGTAGAAAGGAGCTGTTCTGCAGTAATGGACTTCACTTGAACCGTGCTGGACAAGCGGCGTCCTGGCACACCAAGTAACATGGGCTGTAAAGAGGCTTCAATTTAATCGGGCAGTGGAAGGGGGTTTGGGAGAGGGAAAGTTCTAGGCGAGACGATATGGCAGCATTACAGGGCACAATGATACCTAGAGTGGGACAGAGTATACAAACATAGAAAACAGCAATTAATAGGGTTAAATGGTAAAATGGCACAATTAATGGGTCTTTACTTGAATGCACATAGTATTCAAAACAAAATATATGAATTAACTGCACAAATACAGGTTAACAGGCATGATCCTATGGTCAATACAGAGTCATGGTTACAAGGAGTGCAGAATTGGGAACTATATATTCAGGGGTGTGTGATTTTTTTTGAAACAACAGATAGGAAGAAAAGGGAAGTGGGGTGGCATTGGCATGGTTGAAAAGGATAGAATAAATGTGATAGAAAGAGACAATCTTGAACCGAAAAATGTTGAATCAATGTGCGTGTGGAGAAAAGAAAAATGGGAAAGAAGATACTGGTAGTCTATAGTCCCTCTAACAGTAGCTATACAATGGGATAGAATAAATCAGGAGATAATGAGGTGTTGTAACAAAGGCAATACATTAATCATGGGTGTCTTTAATCTTCATATAGATTAGGATACATTGGCAGATAAAGCCATAAGGAAGAATTCAGAACATAGATGGAACAACTTCCTGAAACAATATGTGGTAGATCCAACCAGAGATCAGGCTATTTTGGATCTGTTGTGTAATAAGGCAGATTTAATAAATAATAGAGTAAAAGATCGCCTAGGAAACAGTGACCAGAATTTAGCATTCAACTGGAGAGAGGAGGAAACTTGGGTCAGAAACAGCTGTGCCAAGTTTAAATATCAGCAATTACATGAGAATGAGGACAGAGTTGTTTGGAGTGGACTTAGAAAGGAATTTAGTGGAAAATTCTATTACAGAAACTTGGTTGAGAGAAGGGCAGGTCTGGCGGCTCAATGTTCCAGGCATGATAGAGACAGATGTAAATGAGGTGGGGAAAGTTGCATTACTGATTAAGGAGAATGTCACAGCTGCGTTGAGAGGACATCTTGGATGGCTCATCCAGCAAGGCCATATGGGTAGAACTCAGGAATAAGAAAGGTGTAATCACCATGATAGATTTGTACTATAGGCCTCCCAATAGCCGAAGGATCAGATATGTACGCAGATCATAGAAAGGTTGACTGGGACCCTCCTACTGTCTAGGGATTAGATGGGGTTAAGGTGGTAAAGAAGGCATATAGCAAGCTTGTCTTCAGTCAAATCAGTGAGTATAAAAGTTGGCAAGTCACATTGCAGCTGTATAAAACCTTAGTTAGACCACATTTGGAGAATTGTACGCAGTTCTAGTCATCCGATTACAAGAAGAATGTGGAGGCTTTGGAAAGGGTGCAAAAGAGGTTTACCAGGATGTTGCCTGGATTGAAGTGCATTAGCTATAAGGAGAGATTGTACAAACCTGGATTGTTTTTGCTAGATTGTCAAAGGTAGCTTCTCCTTCAGAGTTTAGGACCAGCGAGCATAATCTCAGAATAAGTAGTCACACATTCAAGATAGATATGAGAAATTTCTTCTCTCAGATGGTAGTGAATCTGTGGAATTCTTTATCGCAGACAGCTGTTGAGCCCCGGTCATGAAGTGTATTCAAGACTGAGATCAGCAGATACTTAAATCAGTGAGAGAATCAAGGGGAAAAGGCAGGAAAGCGGAGTTGAGGATTATCAAATCAGCCATGATCCCATTGAATGGTGGAGCAGAATCAATGAGCTCAATGGTCTACTTGTGCTCCTTAGTCTTAGCCTTCTAAGTAAGGGGCGGCTTTCCATTAGTCTTTTTGTCTGTTTTCTAGATCCGTTCATGATCTCATGAATACCTGCTGTTTCTAGCTTTACACTGTTTGAAAGTGTTTTGATCCAGACTTCTTAAATTCAAAGTGGATGATCTTATATTTGCACACATTAAAATGCATCTGGCACGTTTATCCACTTAAATCTAGTTTTATGCCTCATCTACACTATTTACAATAACACTTATCCTTGAGTCACTGATATTTCTTGTTTCCGACTTAAATTTTTGAGAAATTTCTAATCAGGTTCATTAGAACATAGCCTGACCTTTACAAATCCAAAACCACCAAGGAACTATGGATGCTGAAAATCTGACTAAAACACAAATTGCTTGAGAAACTCAGGTCTATCAGCATCTGTGCAGAAAAAGTAGAGTTAACATTTCAGGTCCAGTTAACTCTGCTTTCTCTTCATAGATCTTTACAAATCTGTGCTGGTTCCTTCTTATCAACTGAAATTATCAAAATGTTCAGATACTTCATTATTAATTAGATTCCATCAATTTTCTGACAGTTGTTAGACTAACTGGCATTAAATTTCATTTGTGGGGGGACCAAAGAGTCAGCCCCACAAAAGGATTGGAAAGAAATGGTGAGGAGTTGCTCTTTCAAAAACTGGTTGCTTTCTTCTTGTGCTTGCTGGTGACCGGAAGGATTGGTAAAAATCAGTCTGTGATCGGAAGACTAAGGTGAGTGGCAGTGATCAGCAAGATGAAGAAAGCAGGAGAGGAGACTATCAGGCAGGTGAGAAAGGCCAGAGACCAAGGGCCTGGGGGAACTGAAGCTTCGAAGTGGAGAGATGAACTGCAAGGGTGTGTGTGTAGGGTGACTGGGGTAGAAAGAGCAAGGGACTGCAAAGGGGATGGGGAGAGGGTTAGAAATGAGATGGTGGGGCAGAAGAGAGTTTTAGAAACACAGAATGGCAGAGAATCTCAGCAGGTTTGGCATTTGGAGGAGAGAGGAACAGAGTTAGCATTTCAAGCCCAATTGACTTTGTCAGAATTTTTCAGTTCTCAGGCGAGTGGAGACACAGGCTGGAATGTGGGAAGGTTGGACAGATGAATCAGCACCCTCCACAAGCCTTTTTAAATGCACATGTATGAATTTTAGCGGTCCAAAGTGCACGTGCTGGTGTCAGCAAACACAACCTTATAAAATAGTATAAAAGATCATTGAAACATTGTGTTGTTGAAGAAGTCTTCCGGTTTACCAGTAGAGATTCTCTTCCCACTGGTGTAAAATGAAGACTGCTTGGCATTGATGTTAGAACAAAAAACTAAGTTGAGAGGTGATTTAAACTACTCCACAACACCAGGATTTATGGGGAATTGTGAGAGCAAATTGACCACTGCCCCCTGTTTTTGGAACTGTACTTAGGCTGTATAGTACCTATTCACTTGTACTGTGCACCACTTTTCATTTCATATTAAAATATGTCTCATATCGTAAAAAAAATCAGTTTTAGCATTAAAAAACTAAACCAGATTTTTGAATTACTGTTGACACCCAGTCCCTATTTAGGTGTGTAAAATGGTGACATCTACAAATGTATGTTAATTAAATGTCAATACAACTAGTTCAATGGTCTAAACAGTGCATCATAGATTCCTCACCTTCCAATGCATCTTTCAGTGGGGTTATAAAGCGATCAAACTCCATCTCTTCCATTGCCGCAAGCACATCAGAGGCACTCAGTGTTTTCCTCTTGCTCTTCATTGCAAAGTTATTCGCGCTGGGAAGATACAGACTTTAATGCACCTCTTTATATTTACATTCAATACAGCTCTTAACGCATTATCCCATAAACTTCAATCAACTTCTAGGAGCATTTACAGCACTCTTGCAACATTAGATAGACCTCAGAACTAACATAATGCTCCCAATATAAGTACTAGACAGACTATAAACACTTTTTCAACTTTCAACAAAACCCTTATACTCAGGCACCTGAGTGCATCCATGCTTTAGCTATTCAAAAATGAACTAGTGCACATACATTGACAGCTTCTCTTCCCTCCTCTATAACATCTCCAGAATAATGTTTTTCATTCACAGAATGTGAGCATCACTGGTAAAGATTGCACTGATTGCCCATCACTGACTGTTCTTTTTGAGGAAGTGGTAGTGAGCTGGCTTCTTGCATACAATTAAAGTCTTGTCTGCCCTCTGAAATAGCCTAGCAAGTAAGAGTCAATTACATCGTTGTGGGTATGGAGTATCACATAGACCTCGATGGCAGATTTCCTTCCCAAATAAAAGGACATTTTGAACTAGATGGGTTTCTTGATAATTCAACAGTTTTTCAGTCACGACTACTGGGACTTCAAGGGTCTAGGCCCGAAACATCAGCTTTCCTGCTCCTCTGATGCTGCTTGGCCTGCTGTGTTCATCCAGCTCTACACCTTGTTATCTCAGAATACTCCAGATGTGGCCAAACCAGGGTCTTATAAAGCTGGAGCATAACTTCACGGCTCTTGAACTCAATCCCTCTATTAATGAAAGCTAACACACCATACACCTTCTTAGCAACTCCATCCACCTGGGTGGCAGCTTTCAGGGAACTGTGGACATGAAGCCAGAGATCCCTCTGCTCCTCCACACTGCCAAGAATCTTTCTGTTAACCCTGTATTCTGCTTTCAAATTTGTCCTTCCAAAATGAATCACCTCACACTTTTCAGGATTAAACTCCATCTGCCACTTCTCAGCCCAGCTCTGCATCCTATCAATGTCCCTTTGTAACCTAGAACAGTCCTCCGAACTATCCACAACTCGACCCACCTTATCATCTGCGAACTTACTAATCCACCCTTCCACTCCTACATCCAAATCATTTACAAAAATCACAAATAGAAGAGGACCCAGAACAGATCCTTATGGTACACCATCGTAACTGAGCACCATGTTGAATATTTTCCGTCCACTACCACCCTTTGTCTTCTAAGGGTCAGCCAATTCTGAATCTAATCTGCCACATTTCCCCCATCCCATGCCTCCTTACTTTCTGCATGAGCCTACCAAGGGGAACCTTATCAAACGCCTTACTTAAATCCATGTATACCACATCCACTGCTCTACCTTCATCCACGTTTGGTCACCTCTTCAAAAGAATTCAATAAGGTTTGTGAGGCATGATCTACTTCTCACAAATCCTTGCCGACTATCACGAATCAAACTGTGCCTATCCAAGTGATCATAAATCCTATCTCTCAGAGCCCTTTCCAATAAAATTGCCCACCACTGAAGCAATACAAACTGGCCTGTAATTTCCAGGGTTATCCCTATTCCCTTTTTTGAACAAGGAAATGACGCTTGCCTCTCTCCAATCTTCCAGCACTATACCCGTGGACAGTGAGGATGAAAAGATCATCGCCAAAGGCCCTGTGATCTCTTCCCTCACTTCCCATAGAATCCTTGGATAAATCCCATCAGGCCTGGGGGGCTTACCTATCTTCAACTTCCTCAAAATTCCTAGTACATCTTCCTTACTAACATCCACTTCCTCTAACCTACCAGCCTGTTTCACACTGTCCTCCGCTACAATTAGGTCCCTCTCAGTTGTGAATACCGAAGAAAAGTATTCATTAAGGACCTCTCCTATCTGTTTAGGCTCCGTACACAAATTCCCTTTACAATCCTTAATCGGCCCTACCCTTTCTCTGGTCATTCTCTTTTTCCTCACGTACGTGTAAAAAGCCTTGGGGTTTTCCTTGATCCTAGCTGTCAAGGTCTTCTCATACCCCCTTACAGCTCTCCTAAGCCCTTTCTTCAGCTCCTTCCTGGCTAATTTGTATCCCTCTGGAGACTTTTCTGATCCTTGTTTCCTAAACCTTACATAAGCATCCTTCTTCCTCTTGAGCTGAATTTTTAAACCAGATCTTATCCATTTTCAAGATTGATTACTTTCACTTTCATAACGCTTCCCATCTCTAACCCAAATCAGCCTCTCTCATGATTAACATAAATTTGTCACATCAGACCCTTGTGCTGGCCTCACATTCCATTAATGTAACTTGTACACAATTTTGTTGTCAAGTACAAAGAGTTTTTGCAACTCCATAACATGTTTACATAACATTTACTTATTTACACATAACCTCACATCTCTGTTGTATCTTCCAGCCCTTCCTGAACAGTGCATTCCTCAGACTCTAACATTTTGTGCAGCCCCTTTCTCCAACTCCATCGCAAGTACAACTTCAGCTGTCTACTTTGGAACTTACTTGTAAAACTTTCTGCTCTTGAAACTCTTTGCTCTTTGATAAATTTCCTCAGAATTTTTAGGTCATTTATTTAAATTTCACCCATCCTGGTCTGGTAATTATGAATATATTTCATTGATTTTGAGAGGCAAGGTGGGGATGGGAGGGTGAAAAAGTTTAAAGAGGCTATTTATGAAAGAAGGAGCCTTGAGTTATCATAGACCTGATCTGAGAGTAATATGTACTTTTGACCGAGAACAGTGAGGCATACTTAATGCAACCGAGCCAGAAGGGGTAGAAGTTGGGAACAGTACGAGGGAACATCATGGATGTGGGCCATTGAATGACTTTGAACAAACACTGCTTGCTCACAAGCCCCCGCATCCCTAATCCTAAAACTTTTTTGATGAATGAAAAGCAAAATATTGCACATTTGGTAAATCCGTACCAAAGACAGCAAACACTCAAATCAATGAGAGTAGGTCAGACTCCAAACAATCAAAAGACTTGTCAGTCAAGGTTTTGGATGTTGAACCATTTATTGAAACTGAAAAGAAATAGATGAACTGCATTTAAGAAACAGAACATGGGGAAGGGTAAAGAAAAGCATCCATCCCCACGATGACAATGCATATAGGAAACATAACTGAATGCCTTGTAAAGTGCTTAGTTGCAGAACAGAAAGTGGTTAACAGGCAGATGTGGTATGTGCAGGAAGCAAAATGATGTGAAAATATTTTGGCCCAGATTTTCTGATGACTTGATAATTGTAGACAGGAGCTACATATAGGGACCCCACGAAATCCCAATAGTAGCAGGCTCCAAAGGAATTGTCTGGGAAATTGAAGATTCCACTGGGCAATTCCCCTCTGCCTTGAACCATCCAAAAGTATCCATTTAAAAATCAGAGAATTTAGAGTGTTCTGCTTCAGTTCAGTAACTAGTTACTGAGGAAATGTTGAACTGTGGAATACCTCGTCTAACTCCAGTCTAACTATTCAACTTACGCATCTTACCTCACACTCTCCCAGACCCTGACCTGACACCCCCTGGGAATTCACATAACCTCTAACATTGCACCACTCCCCCCACCAACCACAGACCTTGCCATGAGGCCCTCAATGCCTAGGATTCAACAGGTACCACCACCTCCACACCCTTCCAGTCCTGACATCCCTTCTCTGCTGCCAGATCTGATCCCACCTCTACCTCACTCTGGACTTGCCCTCAATTCACACCACCACCATGGTAGCTTGGTCTTTAAACTATTCAAGGCTAAGTTAAATAGAGTTTTGATAAACACAGGAATCAAGGGCTATAGGGTATACCCAGCAAAGTATGGGGGAGGCGATGGCCTAGTGGTATCATCGCTGGACTGTTAATCCAGAGACCCAGATAACATTCTGGGGACCCGGGTTCGAATCCCATCAATGCAGATGGTGGAATTTGAATTCATAAAATATCTGGAATTAGGAATCTAATGATGACCCTGAATCCATTGCTGAATATCAGATAAACCCATCTGGTTCACTAATGTCCTTGAGGAAAGGAAACTACCATCCTTACCTGGTCTGGCCTACATGTGACTCCAGAACCACAGCAATGTGGTTGACCATAAGCTGGCCTCTGGGCAAATAGGCATGGGCAATAAATGCTGCCTAGCCCTCGATGCCCTCATCCCATTAATAAATAAAGGAAAAAAAAAAGTAGCAATGAGACCACAATTGGATCAGCCATGATCTTACCAAATAACAAAACAGGCTCAAACAGCTTATTCCCGCTCCTCATTTTTATGTTTGCTTAACTTTCCCTCGTGACCGAGACTTGGGACCAAGTCTATTTCTTTATTTCTACTTCTTATCAAAAAGGCAAAAAAAAATTCATGAATTACCTCTGCTACTTAACACTTTGACAAGAATTTTTATTAATTACTTATTTATCAATATATTGGTCTATAACTTTCAGAAATCAAGAAAGTTATGTTTACAGTTATAGCAAACTGGCAATACCCGTGAAATTTGGTCACTAGTACCGTCCAAATCAGAGAAAATTGAAATGCAGACCCTATGTGAAAAGGTTGGATAAGCCTGGGCATTATACTAATGCTAGTTCTTTTATTCATCAAGCAGAGTCCCGCATTTCAAAGTCTTGGAAAAAAACTTTGCCATTATAGTAAACATTAGAATTCTGGAAAACTGGCCATTTTAATGCTCACATAGAATTTCTTACCATGAAGTTGCATAAAGAACAAAGACACTTGCTGCTCGGGATATTGCACTGCGGGCTTCCTTTGAGACGTTCACTCCATCTGGAAGCTAAGAGAATAAATGGATTCATCCAATTGCATGCTTTCAGGTATAGGGACAACCTAGCTTTTGGGCATTAGTAATTTCCAAACAGAACATTATTTGTTATTCACATAGCCAACATGTTGCAATAGCCTATATTTAACTTTAAGGAATTTACTATGTTTTAACTGGGGCATTAACAATGAAGTGTGTGTTCTGGGACTTGATCATCCTCCGATAACCAATTTCAAATCGTATGTGACATCATAAAAGCAATGTAGAGTGTGTCCTCGTATTGGTTATTCACGTCACTTCTCCAGATAACAAATGCTGCATTTATTCAAATTATCCTTACTAACAGAAACAGTTCTGAAGAAGGGTCACTTGTCTCAAAACATTAACTCTGCTTTCTCTCTATAGATGCTTACAGACCTACTGAGTTTCTCCAGTAATTTGTTTTTGTTTCAGATTTCCAGCATCCATTCATTGTTTTAACTTCAAATAGCAAAATTCTGTGAAGAAAAATACTTCATTTTATAGTAACTAGTGAATAACTAAGCAGTGAGAATTTCTTTTTAATTAGGAAAATTAATTATCTATTTATCAGATGTTAGTTGCATAAGGCATAAAAGTACAGTTCACAATCTAGTAGAGTAAACCGCGCAAAATCTGTGATTACAGATGCTTGTCTAATTCATGCTCACCGCTTCTTTAATAATCCTAGTAATGACTGCATTTGGTAGATTCAAGTCTTCTGGTCTCTCAGCCATCTTTCTCACGTAAACTACAAATACATAAACGATTCAGTTAGATGCGTTAAAGTCCAGGGCAGCCGAGACATTCCTCTCAACTCCAAAACTACCATAAAACTACTGGCCAAGATGTAATACCTTGGACAAACATCTCAGGAATATGGAAACCTTTGGATGCAAGGTAACATAAGCAATACATTTTTAACTGTTTGGGCATTTTGGTAATTTATTGACATCCCCACATCACCAGATGGTCTCAGGTATAAGTTCACCACGTATCACTGAGGATACATTTAAATACAGAAGATTCCAGACTAGGATGGATCTACTGCATGAAAACGCCATATTCAGAAGGATTTTGCAGTGGGGATACCGTACTGGGATAAACTTATCATGGGTCTACCTCTGAACTGAGGTGTTTTCACTAGGGGTCAGATCTGTTACAAATTTGAAACACCGGTTGCTGTACACGTGGACAAGATGTCAAAGGGCTGCCAACATACTTGTACAGTCTTTTGCAAATCCAAAAATCATTTGGGAGATGAGAATTAAAAAAAAACAAAAATACAAAAGAAGTCAGCTAATTGCATTTTCTTATTTAAAGGACAATTAAATATACATTAGCAGCTAGTTTTGAATTGTCAAAATAATTGTGACGTGTGACCCAAAAATCAAATGTTAAAAAGAAAATCAATTTTTGCTGTCTGCTTACAACCAATGTTCTACTGTATAGACTGAATCAGGCCTCTACTTCAGCACCTTTACTGCAGTATGCACAGCACACTGAAGATTGTCTTAATGAACCATTAAACTGAGGATCCATCTGCCTGTGCACACACACACAAGATCCCTGGCACTGTTCAAGGAAGAGCAGGGGAGACAGTCAACTTTCCTCAGTAAACATCACTGGAGAAAAAATTAACTGCTCGCGTTGCTTTTTGTCAGTCCCAGTCAGGCCCAAATTAGCTGTTGACCTATATGTACTTCAAAAATAATTGATGCACTGAGAAATACTTTGGGATAGCCCAAGGAAATGAAAGGACAACAAAAATATAAACACTGCTCAATCTAATTAAGTTTATACACCTCACTTGCATGTCTCTTCATCCACTATCCAATCTAATGATCAATATTGATTTAGATTTTATCTAAGCCACTAACTCTGAAAGTGAATTCCACGTACCCACAATAGAGTGTACAAGATGTTTCTTCTGATCTATTATTTATATTACCTGATTCACATGAATCTCCATGCTCACTCAAAGCCTCAACAGTAGTTACAATATTTGCAGCCCAACACTGTGTAGGAACTTTACATTGGATCTTCATTAACTTTTGTAGTGATTTTACATTGAAAAGCTGGCCCCAACAAAAACAAGGCAAATATTTATTTAACAGTCTACACAATCTCCAAACATTCCAAAGTGCTTTTCAGACAAAGAAATGCAGCCATCACAGAAGCCAATTTGTGCACAGCAAGCTCCCACAAACACCAATGGGATAAATAACCAGAGATGCTGGTACAGAGATAAATATTGAGCAGGACATCAAGGATAGACCCTATTCTCTGTACTGAAAAACTGTGGCATTGAACATTACAGATGAAAGATACTGTAATCCAAAATCGCCCCTCCGAAAGTGTGTCACTGTTCCTCTGGGCTGCTAAACAACCGTGCAACGACCATCTAGTGTTACCGCGCTCCCTCAGCGCCGACCCTCCGACTGTGCCGCGCTCCCTCAGCGCCGACCCTCCGACTGTGCCGCGCTCCCTCAGCACTGACCCTCCGACAGTACGGCCCTCCCTCAGGTGGTCAGTTGCCCGGCTCTGCAGACGGTCTAACCCCGTGCCCTGACTGAAGTGAACCGTCCACAGCCCGCCGCCATGACACTGAGCAGCTCATTAGAATAACGGCCACCCGCGCTCTCACCCACCAGCAAAACCGTCCGCAGCCTCCCACAATCTTTCACCCCTGACCCCCTCCGGAACGCCTGATTGGACGGCTGCTGTGGCACGTGACCGCTACCCGCATCATCTTCCCGCGCTTGGTTACCGAAGGCTGCGGCCTCCAGCGACAGGCGCCGCCTTAAGGCGCTGGAGGAATTTCACCGGTGATGCTTTTCAAGATCTTCCAGAGTCGTTGGTAAGAAAAGTGGTCCCGAAAACAGTGTTCTCTCCCAAACTAACATAGCCGGTATTAAGACGCTGATCGCTCAAAACTAGCACTGCTGGGCAGGACATATTCATATGGTCATGAACACGGGCCCCAACCCAAAGTACTATTAATATTTTTAGCTCATAATTCCAAAGTGGATTTTAAAAGAGAGGTAAAAGGAATTCATACGGCCATAAGTAGCTGCAGATGTAAATTAATTGACTGTCTGGAGAGAGGGATAGCCATGGAATGTCGCACTTAAACATGGAAAGGGAACCTTAACCTTTTTCATGGAGAACGAGACATGTTAAAATGGACTGAACTGTCTTTTGACTGTAAAGGTAATGAGGGGCTGATGACCCCTGCTCAACACCAAGCCCTCCGTTCTTTCCGCCATCCCCCGCCCACTCCCTTTGTTATGGCTGATATCCCAAACTTCAGACATAGGATCATCGCGTTTTATGTTTCTTGCTCTTGAAGAATACGCAAAGACAGGGATTAAAAAGCCTGTCCATTCTGCCAGAATGCGCTCCAGAGGACTTAGGTTCTTGTGTGCCAGTGGGCTAAAGTGTACGAAGCTGGAATTGAATGTCGGTGCTTTGAAGGACACAATCATTGTCTAGTTTAATCATTGTAGGTAAAGGGAGCCTCTTAATCTGAGTGCTCATTACCAGCAGCTGGGTAGCCAGAGAAAAGTTCGAAAAGACAACAAAAGGACTCTCTCACCCTGAATGTCGTCATTCATCCACAATCAAAAGGAATCAGAAATACAGGATTTTAATCAATATGCAAATGTAAGACTTGAAACCAACTATTCAACTTCCAATGTCAGTGCTGCCAATAAACCCCACTGTCACAGCCATATTATTCAACTTTTTGGGAACAATTCAGAGACAGATCTGAATACAGTAAACTTTTTTTATTAAGCAGCACCTATGGGACCAGGAGTATGCTGATTAATCAAATATTCCAGTTGATCAAGAGGTTCACCTAATCAGTGTAAAAACACACACTAAGTGATAGAAATGTAATGTCGGGTGTCAATGTTATCAGTATTTACAGCATTAATCACTTAACTAATAATGCAACTTTGCCTTAAATAAAACTTACCAGCAGAGAGCCTTCTCACTTGCCCCATTAAGTGTCTACTCAGACATTGTGAGGATCACGATAATACAGTAAATTTCAGGTATGTAATTTTTGCCGTTTTATCAAGTGTGCTGGTTTGTAAGATGCCAGTTAATACAAAGTTTGCTGTATCTGCTTTTTAAAATTTTTATCTTTTAGATCTCACTTTTTTTCTAACCTGTGTGCTGTGTTACTAATTCTTCTTATGTATTGTAATTATTAAATTCATTCTTTGTTCGCACAGTTAAATTGATTGCTTTGAAAACACAAGTTCATTTGGGTCTGGGAGAAAGGCACCTACAAGAGAGAAGATTTGCTTTTAAATTAAACATGTTGAAACCAACATGGCTTGGGTGAATAAAAAAGGAAAAGGCAGTTAATTTTCCCCTCTCTGCTTCCACTTCACCTAGGGGCTTAACAACTTGTACAACCTGTCTGGAACCATAACAAGTTGGGGAATCTTGCCCAGGATCCAGGCATAACAATATGTCTAACACCAGACTCCTGAAATGACTTTTCTACTTGGAACTCAGTCCCTGGTGTAGAAAATTTGAGCGGTTACCTAATTGACAATGAAATAGTGGTCAGAAATACAATAATATTAATTGTCATAGTGATGGGATCTTTTATTGCCAAATGAGAGGAATGTAGAGTTTAGTTTTAACTTCTCCTCGGAAAGATGCCATTTCTGACATCAAAACTTGAAAGTGTATTCAAAACCTGAAGGCAGAGTTTTAATTATTGTGTATTTTAATGATTGCAGAGTGATCAGATGTGGTGACGTGATCTCCCAAGAAATAGGTGTTTTGCCAATTTGCCCATTTTCCAATATTTTAGAATCTACAAAGGACTTACCTATTGCAATGCTTTAATCTGAAGAGTAAGGGAGTTCTGTTCAAATTTACTGAAAATATCTCGTCATTTTCAAATTGATTTGATTTATCTTAAAATATTGAAACTTTTGTTCCTCTTCAGAGCAAACCATTTAATGTGGACATTTTTAAAAAAGAAATCCCCATTGGCAAGATAGGGACTTTGCCCTTTCTTACCAATTACCTACTACCAATGTTGTTCTCTTTGTTCCCTGCTACAAACTAAATTTTTTGACTGACATTGTAATATCACCCAAACCTGACCCTGTGTCAGTTCTGCTGCTGTGGTCACACTCATCCGTGCCTTTATTACCTCTCCTGGCCAGCCTTCCACAAAGCCTTGGTCCTTCGACGCTCCACATAACATTGTGCTCATCCAAATCGCTGTTGCCTATACCTTAACGCACCAAGTCTGCTGGTGCTTTTAGTACAGTCTATATAGGTGAAGCTGGATTTTCTGCAATGATATCAATGAAAGTTGAGCCAGGATGAACGTTAACCGTGACAGTTACAAGTTCTTGCAATAACTGCATAGTCCACTGCATTGTTGCTCAAAGCCATCATGTTAAGGAAGCACAATTAAAATGATATGCATGTTTATTTATATAACAATTTTTTACAATCAAAAGTAATTGTGTTAAGGCGAACTGTGAAATTTTCATAACAGGGAAGCAAAAAGATTGAAATCCTATGTTCTGGGAAAGGCAATTCCTCTCTTCTTCCCTCGGCAGTGATCCCAGTGCCACACTGACATCATTGACTTTTTAGTTGACCTTGACATACCTTAGCAAGCTGTTTGGTTGTATCAAAGAGTAGTTCAAGGAATAGGCTCAGAGCCTTGTTCTCAACAGTAACTGGGATTGGCAATTACTGCCTGGCATACCAGTGATGCACACATCCTGAGAATTCACTTAAAGATGTAAAAATGTGACATGGATGCATTTAGCCTTTTCTACTCAGCAGCTGAGATGCTGAAATATTGCAGTAAGAGACAGAATAAAGGTAGATCAATAAATACAGATTAACAGCAGATAATGTACAGATAATTTAACATCAAAGCAATGAAGAATCAGTGGAGACTGAGGAATAGAAAAGAGAAACCACAAAGAGAAAACATTAAGCAATATATATGTAATATTAGATGATATTTGTTCCCACAGTGACAGTAGACCAATATAGGCAGAGAAAAAAAAAAATCCCATAAGGAAAAGCAGACAAGCAAGCAAAGGGGAAACTACATTGTAGACAGAAGCAGTGATCGTGATGCAGATATAACTGCTATTTGAAATATTTTTCTGGTCCAGAAGGGATGCTTTCCTGGAGTTGGAATCAAGGCACACAGCTGCGACTATGATCAATGTCTGAGTGAAATGCTTCTGACGTGGGAAAACCTGAAGTAGACAATGGATAGCAAAAATGTTTCATTCTTCAGTATTAATATGGTCCATTTTGATCAACATGACAATTCACCAGTAAGTTTACAGTGTTCCAAATCATGAATATCACCAGTATCTCAAAAGTCAACGTGTCTGATATCATTAAATTGTAAGCGGAAAGGAGAGAAAAGAAGTAGTTTTAACTGATAATTTTCCATGCATCCCTGATGTTAAATCTCTTCTCCTCTTTGATCCATCTCTGTAACATGTGAGGATATGCCTTCGTTGGGAGCTGCAGAATCTTGTTCAACTCTCAAGATTATGTCAGTGCTATTCTCATGATCCTCAGACCCTTTGAGATTTCTGTGTTCCAGGTTCAGGACTTTACTTTCATTGGCAGTACTGAGATCTTCCTGTCCATTTCTTCCAGTAACTTGATTGAATTCATCACCAGACTGTATCAGTTCTGCAGTCAGAGATCCCATTTCTGTGATAGTACTGGGAGTATCCTGGTAACTTCTTTCAGCAACTGAAAGGCTGCTTTCAGAGAGTATCTGTCCCACTATTGGTGACTCCATTTCAGGGGCAATACTGGGAGTACCCTGGTAACTTCTTTCAGTAAT